CAAGAGGGGGAGGAAGACAAAACGATTCAGCCCTGTGAGATAAGTGGGTGCTGCAACTGGGTGAGCAGGGACTAGGGTGTTCCAGACCCGGGAAGTGGCAGGGGGGGGGGGCGGGGGGGGGGGGGGGGGGGGGAGCCCCTCCCAGCCCCTGGTCTTGATGCCCTGAGGCTGCTGCACACTTGGGCTCTGCAGACTGGGCTGGTCACGAGCCGAGGAGGGGCCTCGGGGCCTGGTCTACACCTCAGCCTCCCATTCATCAATGTCTATGTGGCCAGCCCGCCTCTCATCCAGTCGGCGAGGCGAGAAGGTCCAGAGACTTTCCCACGCACAGGGGCCCTCTGAGGGTGTGGGAGTCCTGGCTCCCCTGGGGCGTGGCCTGGCAGGCCCCCACTCACCAGCGCCCAGCAGGGCTCCCCCGTGGCATAGGAGCAGCAGCAGCCAAGGCCTGAGCATGGTGCTGCCTGCGTGGAGGAGAGGCCGCCGCTGGACCTGCCCTGCTGCCGCGGGCACCTTTGCGACGTGGTGGCAGTCCTGGTGCCTTATATAGGGGTGGCGGGCCCTGCCCTGGCCGCGCCTCCTGCGCCCCACGCTCCAGCCCCGTAATCACTGCCTCCTGCCAGGCCGGCACTGGCCAAACAGGATCTCGAGCCCTGCTTTATCGGGATTTGGCCTTCTTTAGGAAATTCTGCGGTGGCTGCGGCCCCGTTATCACCCTCTCAGGGCTGGGGGGGTGGCACACGCCCTCCAGGAACCCCAAATCCCTCATGTGTCTGGGATGCACTGGAGCCTGCCCAGAGCTTACCTCACTACCGGGTCAGTGGGAGCATGACCACCTGGGTGACCGGGATGGGGCTCGTCCAGGGAGAGTGGGGGAACCCAGGGCCATCCCTCTCCCCCTGTAGGGACTTCAAAGGACCAGAACGGCTTTCAGGATGAGCGCCTTCTCACCCGGACCCAAGACCCCAGACACCAGCATGCTGGACGCCACCATCTCACCCTGGGTTTTCTCTGGGAGGAAAGGCCACCCTGGTGTGGGGAGGGGCCAGGTGTGTGGGCGTCCCAGAGGTAAAGGCCCATTGCTGACTGGCCACAGTCTCAGGGCTGGGGGGCCACTTCTCTGGAGGTCTCCAGGGATGTCCTCATGTCCACGTGGCCCCTGGAGCCCTGGGCTGGCCAGGCTCTCCTGGACACCCCTTAGCCTGGCCTCTGGGGAGGGTTCACGCTGCAGCCCCTGCTGGGAGGCCCCTCCACAGTTACCGTCGTCTGTCCCCACAGGTCCAAGGGGCTCTGTCGCTGCTGGCCTCAGGCACAGGTGCGGGCTGGCGTGTCCCTGGGGAGTGTCTTCATGGGGGTCGTGTGGGAGACAGGCGGAGAAGCAGGGCAGCTGCCACAACTGGCTGAGAGGCGAGGGCCCCGCGGGGGCGCAGGCAGGCCTCGTCCCTGGGTTGGGGGTACACAGCAGCATCTTGAGGGGTCAGAGCCAGGGTCAGAGCGAGGGTGAGGTCTGGAAGGTCAGGGCGGTGGGCAGCTCTTGCCCTTCTGGGCAGGCTCCTTGCGGCGTGGAGGCTGTGGGGGCCCAAGTGGTGGCAGGCCTCCCTCGGAGGGAGGAGAAAGGGGTCTGGCTGGTCACCAGGCTTGGCTCAGCCCTCAAGAGCCTGGGCGCAGAACTTCCCTGTCTCGAAGGTGATTCTGGGACACGCCTGGAGACTTTGGATCCAGGGGTGCCCCTGCACACCCCTTGAGAGCCCCAGACCAGAGTCGTGCAACCCTCACCACAGCTTTGGCATCTGGCCCCAGCCCTCCTGCCTCGGCTCGGACCCTGAGGCCGCCTGGGATTTCCTGGGCCTGGCTCTCCAAACAGGGCTGCACCCCTCCTTAAGGACTAGCCAACCCCTGGGCGGGAGCTAGCCACTTCTACTTGGCATTATCCCTCTCCCTTCCCCCATCTTGCACAAACTTGGGAGCTACCCCCCTTTGCCCACCGAGCAGAGGCTGCCCTGCCTGCCCCTGGGGGGGACCCAGCCGGCAAGTGTGACAAACGCGGTATATGTCCCATGCTTCACCTAAAACGACCTGTAATTTTAGTAGAAAATAATTTAAAATCAACACAGATTAAACTGCTTGAATAGGAAATCACTCTGGAGGGACAGCCAGTCCCGAGGACCAGCGCCCAGGCTGGTGGGGGCTCCGGTCCTCATTTCCTCACTCGCCACGCCGGGCCGCGTGAAGCCCTGCTTGGCCGAGCCTTGGCCCGGCGTGCTGAGAGGCCAGTGTGCACGCAGCACTCTCACCGGCCTCAGTCTGAGCTGCAACCCCTCGGCCAGGCACGAGGCAGGGACAAGGAGGGGCAGGGGCCCGGGCTGCTTTTCCTGTGCGGGGTCCCTGCTTTAGGGCAGCCAGTGCCCAAAGGGTCCTTATGACCCTGGGTAGCGTGGCCAGGAGCCCTGCAGCTCATCACCCAGGTGGTGCACTGCGGCGCTGTCGTGGGGCCTCTTCCTGCCCTTGGAGAGCTCAGGGTCTCACGAGGCACATGAGGCGATGAAAGAGGCGCAGTGGGGCAGAGGCGCAGTGGGGCAGTGGGGCAGAGGGGCAGAGGGGCAGAGGCGCAGTGGGGCAGAGCCGGAGGGGGGCAGTGGGGCAGAGGCGCAGTGGGGCAGAGGCGCAGTGGGGCAGAGGCGCAGTGGGGCAGAGGCGCAGGCACTTCAGACTTCCCAGCTGCGAAGTGGCAGAGACCTCCCCTTTGTTGGAAGAGCAGTTGCGGCCACAATGCTGTGTGCGAGGATCCCCATGTTACTCCAGGATGGGGGCCCCTGCGGCTCAAGGGCCAGTCAGGGTCTGGGTAAGGGCAAGGCCACGAGGCTCGCAGCAGGGCCCGTGCGGGGAAGCCTGTCGTGTGAGTGTGCGTGCGGTGTGCTGTGCGTTCCTGGGACACGCTGCGCGTTCCGGGGCCTGTTATCTCTGCTCTCCCAGAGCTGTGCAGGGCTGCCCTGCGGTTAGCACAGCCTTCTGGCCCGCCGCATCGCTGGCACGTGGGTTGGGGGCTCCATCCTGGATGGATGGGGGCTCCCTTCCGACCCACTTAGTGGGAAAACACCACAGAATGGCACTTTTGTCCCGCCCCAGGAGCACTTGAATCGGAGCAAACAGCCCTGGCGGGCGGCAGCAGATAAGCGTGTGCGTGGCTATTGTTTCCGGAGCAATCTGGGTGATAAGAGCGGCCGCAGGCCTGCCTTGGAGAGCGGGCGCGCAGACAAGTGCGCAATTGTGCGCTCCCACGCCCAGCCCCACCCCTGCCCTCCGTGTCCGTCGTGTGGCTAGGCCCTGAGTAGTGGCCACTCCAGGGTCCAGGCTGGCCATAAAACAGGGGGCTGGAGTGGGCCCCGAGGCCCAGCTGAGACCTGCCCAAGCCAGCCTTGGCCCCAGAGCTAGTATCCCGGGGAAGGGGCGGGGCTCTTGCTTCCCGGCTCCGTTGCCAGGGCGGGTGCCATCCTGAGGCCGTGGCACCCAGGAGAGCTGCGAGTAGATGTCCACCTAAACTTGAGGGCCCGGGTGTGGGCATTCTCCACCCACTGGCAGGTGCTTCCAGAAGGCTCTGGGAGAGCTGTGTGGCCTGGCGCTCCGCTGTCACGAGCAAAGCCCCCAAGACCCTGAGTTTGCAGGACGCCAGTGTCACCCCTGCCCTTTGCCTTCCAAGCTAGTGGCTAGACAGGAGTCAGGCCGAAGCGGGCCTGCTGGGTCCTGCCCACTGCCCTGCTGGCCTCCTGCCCTGCCCCACCATCCACTTCTCCCATCCCCAGGGAAGCACAGGTAGGGTTTACCTCCTGAGGCTTGGCAATAGCTCTCTCAGATCAAAGGACTGACGGCTGTGGCTTTGGGGAGTGGTAGGGACAGATTTTGACACCAGGGGCA